CTCAATGAGTGTTTGTATTTGAAAATTTCACCTTTCGAGTTGAAAATTTTCAAAAACAATGTATTCTGTATTTGATTCGAGTTCGATTTCGACTTGAATCATCCATACGAATACAAGTCACTTGATAAGAAACGAATGAATAAATTCGAAAAACTTTAAGTTTCATGGTAATTCTACACATCCACATTCACACCTACACCCATCATTCAAATTCTTAATTAGTTTCTGACTATTGATGGTCTTGATTTCTCTTTGATAAAACTCATTGTTTCTCTGAAATACTGTGCGCTTACTGAGAAATCAAAGAAATGAATGTCACGAAAATTATTACAGACTGAAATTGTTCGACTAAATTTGCGGTTGTTCAAACTTGATTAAAAAAACCATTGTTTTGTTAAAATAGGTTTTTTGGATGAAAAAAAGTGAAAGTAGATGGTATTCACTCCAGCGCATCACTTCTTCACATGATTCCAACTAAATAAAATATTATGTGAGAACATGTTAAACTTAATATTTAATTGTAAGCTTTATATCAACATTCAACATAAGTAGTGCTTGTTACCAAAATTCATTTGACCGTCCACTAAACTTGACTTAATCTTCGCCTCTCACCACTTATTAGATTCTTTTTTGAAAACTCCTGCGACAGCTATTTTGTAAAAGAGACCGTATCCTTCTATTTTCTGTCGACGTTTACTAAAATAAACCTTGGCGAACAGCCTGTATCTACTGTGCGCCAATATTCCTCAGTGTCGCCAATCTCGACTCCTTAACTTTTCGTGTGATTGGGATTTGATTTTAAGTGTTTCATTTTTCTCGTGCAACACACTTTTAGTAGTTTGAAGAAATCAATCAAAATACATTTCGTATTCTTATATTCACTTCTAAATGTATATCATTAATCGAATAAGAAGACTACGAAGTTTAACGTAAATAGGATCGACGTTTTAATTTGTATAATAGAAATATAACTCACAAGTATGTGATACTAGTGCTTATAAGATTTATTCTGACATTTTTTTTTTGATAGCTCACTCATGGAAATCGGGTATTTGTTGTAAAAGATCTTGTTATTTAATTTCTCTGAAAACAATGCAGGGCATGATTTTTTTAATAGATATGACCTATCGGCATTAATTTTGTTGTAGGCAGTAGAGATCTAATAATATCAGAATTCTTGAACTCTTCCGACACGCACACACCTAAACTAGAACTGAAAAACATTATTAAGAAAGATTTTAAACTTTTATTGTCAGTTCAATAAATTATATACTGAACAAGAACTTTTATTTTCTAAATGCAAATATAATAGCAGCGATGATAAAAAATCCGAGACTCCATGAACTAGCATTGACAAAACCAAACCATACTTTAAAATGTGTAAATGACCAACCTAAATATTGGATGAAGTTATATTTTTATTAAGATAAGAAAAAGAATAAAATACTTCTGGCAGCAATACATCGCATTGCTTCAACAGTATGCGTTAATGGAGTAAAATTACTTATAAAGTGCATTACTGGTGGCATGCCTTCGAGTGGCCAAATTATACCTTTAATTTTTAATTACTTATCAGTAAAGAAGATCAAACAAGTATATTCAAAAAAAACAAATTAACCTGAACAAATTAACACGGGAAAAACGCTTCCGAGTGCCACTTGCATTGCTTCCATTTCTTCATCACACAGGGAAGATATTAGAAAACCTTTTGGAGAATAAAACGAAGAAAATGATTTATTCTAAATTAAAAAAAGAAACTACTCTTTGTTTTTTATTACCATAACTCATTCCACAAATTCCTTGAAGAAAAATGATTCCTGCTGCTAAGAAAATTGAACCTTTAATTTCAATCTTAATATAAATGTAAAACAAATTAAGAAAAAAAAATTACAAAAAAAAACGACAACAAACTTTAAATATATAATCAGTAAAAGTAAGTAACAATATAACTTGAATAATTTGTATGAAAAATTTAACAATTATATGTGCAAACATAAGTTCAATTGTTGTAACACCAGTAATCCAAGTACGTTCTAAAAGACCTTCTTTTTTCTCAACAACAAATAGTAATCCTGTTAAACCAATTGCCAAAAAAAATATTATTGATATCATCATTCCTGGTGCAGCAAAATTTACAAATTTAGGAGCAAGACTTCCATAAACAGGTTTTTCTATTATAATTGGTGGATCAGCTATTGATGGATCAATTCCTAGACTGGATAAAATTTCTTTTAAAAATACTTCTGTACTATTGATTAGAGCAGTTTGCATTGTGAATAATACTTGTTGATCTTAATATAGAAAAAAAAGAAAAAACATTTCTATTCATATTTTATGAAACGACTGAACATGAATAGAATTTCATTCACTGCTCGTACGCAATATTTAGTTGAATCTAAGAAAGATTATTATGAGCCTTGTAAAGCATTTTTTCATGAAAATTTCAAGTTCAACCAGTTTTTTAGCTGTTTTCAAGAGATAAAATATTGAAATGTGTTCGGAACATGCACCATGGTTCGTAACACTACTGAATGCAACAATTATCCAATCTGTTTAATTGGAGAAAAAAAATGATACACATAGTAGACTTTGTTTTTCTTTTTTTCGTTTTTCTCGAAAACAGTTTTTATATTAAAAAAGTGAAAAGACACCTTCATCTCTCTGGCATTGTGTACTAGGGTGTGGGTGTAGGTCCTGTTTTCATCCATAGCCACACCCTAATCAACGCTTATAACTATGCAATTTAAGTGGATTTCAATTTGTTAGATTCACATGTGTTAACTCATTTCTTGGCACTATTGGATACGAATTGTACTGCGACATAAGAGTTTTGTTTTATTTTAAAATTAAAATTAAAATTCTTCTCTAAAGCGCACAAAAGGAAACATGATTAGATTTACAATGTGTATAGAATGCGAGTCTTCTTTTCTACATTCAGAAAGTCACTCAAATCTATCCCTCATCTATTAAGAAATCATTTTTCAATGATCTTTTTACTGGAAATCTTCTTCTGAACACATTAACTTACTGGTCATGTCAAGATAAAGATGAAGTGATGATGCATTTAAAGTAGCTGGATCTGTCTGAAATTCTATAAATCTTTAAAATAAAACAAAAGTCAATTAAAATTCAATATACGTTAATTAAAACTAATGCGAACTTATTTTTGATTGCTTGTGTAAAATTATCTTGAATGGCAATGATACCCCAGTACTGCCCTTGTTTAACAAGATCCATTGCTTTATTAAAATCATTAAATGGTGTCTTTCATTTTTAAATAAAATTAATTTTAATCAAAAATAAAAACAAATTATTCCAACATACAATATCAATTTGTTGAGGATTTATTTTATTTAAAAGCTGTAAACTTAAATTGCCTGTTGGAAAG